TGTCCCTCGTAAGCATCCCTGTTGTCCAACATTCGTCTTTTTGAGGTCTGGTCACCCTAATCTTGACTGATGTTAGCATTACATTCTGACTGAGTTTGATCTATTTATTAAAGCTGGTAGACATGTCCCAAAAGGTTTGCAGTTGTAATTGTGTGGAAAAGCATCGCTTCGGGAACTGAATTGAAATGCACGCCACCCTTTCAGATTTTTACGTTTTGAACATCATGTATATTTTGCCTTCCCCTTTACCACTATGCACTTATTTTTGTTAGTCTATAACATGTTATCCCAATAGATTTGAGTTTATAACATGAGAAAATGTAAAAAAACAATCAAACGGATATGAACATTTGCAAGGCAATGTACAATGGAAGACAGAGGAAAGCGACAAAAATTTGTTACATTTCTGTCAAATGCTAAAAAATAACCAAAACATAATAAAATAAACAGCTAAAAATAAACAAATTATGCAAAATGTCCTAAACATAACATATAAAAACATCCTGAAGGTTTTGCCAACTAGGTCCCCTTTTCATCTACAGCATGTCTCCAGGTCTTTAGTCCCATTACCCCCCCCCCAAAAAAAAATAAAAAATAAACACTATAGCAGAATATAGAAGCCTTTGTTAAATGATATATTAATAACGATGAATATTGTAATCTGCCAAGTAAGTGTTGGTTGATATTTAGAGCCCAGCTGATCAGGAATCAATGATGTAACCCAAACAAAATATTTACTTTATTAACTGCACTGAGTACTCATTTAGATGTTATAATTTTTTAATTACAAATGTTAATTATTGTTAATTATTACTAATGTCTTTAATCAGTATTTGTAAAGTGCACTCATCCACGATACTTTTATAAAATGTTGCAGTTTGGGTGAGGAGGCTGTGACAGCTGTTTCTGTACAAATGGGCTGAAGCCGAGCACGCTGTCGGTGGTAATGTCCCATAAGAAGAGATAAATGATTCATTAGGGTCATTGTGAACTATGAGGGTTGTTAAATTACAGTGCAGCAGAAGGAGCGAAAGTCGTGACTGTTCTTATTTCAGCCCACTCTGTCCTTCTGTCTGTCAGATCATTAACTGTCATATCTCTTCACTCATTCTTCTTTCCTTTCTAATTCTTTATTACTTCCTCCTTACATTTCACATTCTTGTTTTCTTTTGTTTGTTCTCTTTTAATTTTTGGGCTTTTTCCTGGGTTTGTTTTCTCGACTATTCTATTCCTCCTTTTTGTTTGTTATTCTCTGAGTTTTCCTTATATCTATTCCACCCTTTTTCCTTCTATCATTTTTTACTTCTTCATCCCTCCTTTTCCTGACATCATTGTCTCCTCTTAACCCGTTTCCTGCTCTCTTTTCCAGTAATTTTATTTTTATTTTTTATTTCTTTCTTCTGCATCATCTTCTGGCTTCTGTGCATGTTTTAATCTTCATTTACCCTTTTAAACGTTTTCTGTTTTTTCATATCTTTATTTGGTAATTCATCATCATCGTCCTGTAATCTTTTCTCAAGTTTATCTATAATTTTTTGTTCCTTCCTTTCTTTCTTTAAGCTGTTCTTTTTGTCTTCCTTGTCGAGGTATTCCTTCCTTCCTTCCTTCCTCCCATTATTAAGTTTTTTTTACCATTTTTTTCCTCTGATCCTCATCATCATTTATGTCAGACCATTTTTTCAGATGATCCATTACATACAGTTTTTCCCCTTTGATGAATTCTCGAGTCTCCTTTTTCTTGCTTATCACCATAACCCCACCTGTCCACGCTCTGTCTCCATTACAGATCTGATCTGGAACTATGGACTTTGGACAAAAAGTGGAAGGGAAGGAGGTTAAAAGAAACCTACACATACTCATGGAAAGTGAAACAGGCTGAGAGACGAAGTTGCTTTGTGCTTTGGTGAAACACTCAATGTCACTCCAATCTTCTGCACAGTCAGCAGACAATGCTCTCTGCCTGTCAAACCCGCACACACATGCGCCTCCACCCACCTAATCAAATACACACATGGAGACGCTATCATAAGACATTTTGTGGACCAGCAGTCAACTCCACCTATCAGATTCAGACAAATATCCAAACACAAGCACAGTTTTTTTCCCCACAGGTATACAAACATGCATGCACTGTCAGAAAAGCACAGACAAGAATGTGGCAAATACAAGAAACAAATAAAAATAGAAAGTGATGGAGGGAGTTTCACACTTAGATGCAATACACAAACTGTTCCCAGATTGCTGTGTAGCCCTGTTCAAAAGGTCAGAGAGCAAAAAGCTGTCACTCAGAACGACAGATTGTATAACACAGATCCAAGTAGTTCAGGAGAGGGTCTTCCTTCTTTGCAGATTTATCGTACACACAAACAAAGACAACTGAACAATGGAGCAAGTGGAACAACTGCTCCCCCATTATTTACCCAAAGAAATATGTTTGATCTCTGCAGTCCAACAGAGGCCTACCTTCTCTGGTCTATTATTGGATGTTGAGGTGGCTTTTGAACACTAGATTTTCAGTCCCTCTGCCTAGCTCTTTCCCTGTTCTTCAAAATTACCTTTGTGCCAGATAACTCATAATTAAACCTGAAAAAATAATCTTCCTCTTGAGAACCACACAGATACTTCATAAGTTCAATTTAGGGTTCCAATGAGTTTTATTCATATTTATAAGCTTGCCTTATTTTACTTTTTACAAGTAATATTATAAGCCATTACTGTTTAGTGATAGATAGTGATAGATAGTGATTGGTTAGTATTAGATGTGATATTTCTCCTTACAATTTTTAGCAGACTGTTAGATTTTGTTTGTTTATGACAATCTATGAATAAATATAAAAATTAAAATAACTTTGTTTTTCTTTCTGAGTTTAGTTTAAAAATTGTAATTCATGCTTCAAATGACATAAACTTGATGAGAAATGAAACTAATTTAATTAGTTTTATCTCTCTTTATGTAAGACTGATAATTGCTTCAGGTTGGATGTTTTCTTTGAAAAGGTCACTTTTCTTTTATATTTACTTTATTCATTTACTTTTATTTAGATAGATAGTAACACAATAATCATAAACATTATCTTGGCATGTAAAAGGAACAGGGTTACAAACAAAACTTAAAAACAAGGACAGATTTGAAATTATGATTTTTCCATTTTTTCTACCATGATCCCGTGTTTTTCCCTAATTTGGGATTTCTTCATAAGTGTTTAGGAAGGATTCACGCTGCATTTGTATAAAACCTACAAAACTTAAACTTCATTAATTTTTTTCCAGATTGCTTGACTGGAGATTTGCAGGTCCTTTTCTTAAAGGCTTATTTGCTTTTTTATTTTATTTTTGGTGCATCATCCTTTGCTTTGTGCAAGAGCCCTTTGAGAATTTGAGGTAGAAAATATATTTGAAAAACAATGACATATAATTAAAGTTGTTTTTTTTTTTCTGTGGTAGGTAAATAATCCTGAATATTAACCATAGTCTCTAGGGTACTATACAGTTTTTTTTCTTTCATTTAGTTAAACTTTTCAAAAACATTGAGCTTATTTAAAGAATTTAGTCTTAGGGTTTTTCTTATAATTACACAGAAAGATTTTTGCTTTCTCCTCCTAATAACAAGACCCCTCACATTCACTTGAACCTACCCAGGATGGCTAACACCATTCCGTCTTTCAGCACTTCCATGGACCCCGAGCAGACAAAGAAGACGGCCTGGAGAGCATCGCCCTGTCGGAGGAGGTACTCCCCTGGGGTGCAAAAGGAGGTCTTAATGTGCAGTGACAGCGAGCGCAGGCAGCCGCGACTTGCGGAGGCAAACAATGACAGTTCCAGGATCTCCTTGTTAAGATGCATGGTGATGTCGGATCGCAGCTCATCTGGAAAGTCCTTTAGCAGCTGTGGAGATGATGGGGCAGAGAAAGGTAGAGTAGGGGGGAAATAAGAGTGGAAAACAAGAGAAAGGAAAGAAAGTGTGACAGTTGCGTGAATACTATTCTGCAACTCGGTAATTGAATTTTTAACCTTTGCTGTTTTGGATTCCTAACCTTTAAACACAATTTATACAGCTCCTAAACAAACAATGTTGAGTTACCTTGTCTAAGCCAAAATTGCATCGCATCTATGTGTCGATTGTCTTGTCTGGGACAGAAATCTTTAGCTCCCAGGGACGTAGATTTCCTCAATGAGTCATCAGAGCCAGGCTTACTTTAATCAACAGGCTCATCTATAATTCATCTGTCTGGGATTCATCAGCTTCCCTCCATCTCAGCTCTGGTCAGGATTCTGACAGCTGTCTCGCAGGCCCACACAGCCTGGAGGGAGGAGCTACTATTAGAAAACTGACAGGTTTCCATATGCTTGTCAAGTAAAGGTGTTATTTACTGCTTGGGTGGTGGAATTTCCTGTAAAATGCCACACTTGCTAATCTAACCTTATCCATGCTTGTGTTTTGCTTGGCAAGAAAGATAAAAATGACACATAATTGAGTTCATTCAATGAAAATCTAAAATAAACAAGAGCTGGGTTCTAAGCAGAACCCATCATATGTCAACCCTGATGACTCAGGCAGACAAGTAAAGTTGTCACAGCCTAAAATTTGCCAATCTAGAGAATCATGTATGCTGCAAAAGCTCCCGTGCTGAGAACACTGTCTCACATTGACGTATTGATCACATTAACACCTTTTTCATGAGCTTTAATATGGTCTCAATGTGAGAACCATATAAATTCAGTCAGTCAGTCATTTTCTACCACTTCTTCCATAGTGGGTTGCGGGGAAGCTGGTGCCTAACTCCAGCAGTCTAGACGGGAGGCAGGGTACACCTTGAAAAGGTCGTCAGTCCATCGCAGGGCAACACAGACAGGACAAACAACCATGCACACACTCATTCACACATTTAATGGCAATGTAGAGAGACCAATTAACTTAACAGTCATGTTTTTGGACTGTAGGAGGAAGCCCGAGTACCCGTTGAGAACCCATGCATATATTGGGAGAACATGCAAACTCCATGCAGAAAGACCCCCGGCTGGGAGTTGAACCCAGGACCTTCTTGCTGCAAGGTCAGTGCACAGTGCTACTAACTACGCCACCATGCAGCCCTATAACCATATATTTATCTAATAAAATATTAATCCTGATATGTTATGTCGCCTGTATCTAGAATTAAGCCTGGAGATGTTTGAGCAGTTTTCAGTAAATTTAAAGTAAGGTTTTCATAGGTTTACACAAAAACGCCACAATATTGGTAGACTAATTTCAACCCTTATATGCAAAGACTTAAGTTTAGAGCCCCTAAAAGTCAATTTAACTGTTTTTTCTGCTAAGGACTCATTTTCTAAGTCAGTGCTAAAGTTTTTTTTCTCATTACTTTAAAAGCTACCTGCAGAAATAAAAAAAAATTATTTTTTCCATTCAGCTCAGAAAACAAGTGAGAAAGTCTTTCTTTTTTTAGAAATGCATTTAGAGCATGGTGTAGTGGTCCTAAATTCAGCCCTATGACCATCTAATTTAGTAAGCCAGCAGTCAGTTAAGCTACATCCAAGCCAGAAAGGAGGAATACAAATACAAAGTCTTACAAATACAAAAATTTGCCCCTCATTTGTCTGTTAACGCTATTAAGTATTGATTTATTTTTTTGCTTCTCAGAAATAAAAAAGAAGAAACATAGAAAGTCAGAAAGACTGAAACAAATGCAAAAAATACAGCTGATTAGAATTAGGACATCACAATAATTTATTTTTCTGTTTTCCTTACCTTTCAGGGCACAAACTTGCATACATTATAAAGAAAAAACAAAAGAAACTTAAAAACTTAAACTGTCACTGTCCCTAAATGCAAAGTCTGATCTATTTCAGTAGGGCAGCAATCAGTCAAGGCCAGTGGTGCACTTCAATGACTCTTGTGGCAGAAAATAATATCTCTATAAACAACACAGACAGAGGAGCCTTTGAGCTAATTTCAGAAAAAAAAAATATATACAGTACAGACCAAAAGTTTGGACACACCTTCTCATTCAAAGAGTTTTCTTTATTTTCATGACTATGAATATTGTAGCTTCACACTGAAGGCATCAAAACTATGAATTAACAC